AAGCAAATTAACCCTATGGCCTTAATTAATACATCTAGTAAACATATATTTTTATGATGTTTAATATTTTCACGCATATTAAGACCATAAATATTTGAGAAATTTCAAAAAATATCATTTTTTAAGTGCCACTTTACAAGTGTCACTTTACAAAAATGTTACACTTTTGAAATATTTACGAAAATACCACTTTTTCAAAATTATTTTTTCTTTATATTATTTATGTTTGGGTTAATTATGTTTTATTAGGGTTTAATTATGAGGGTTTAGGGGGGTTTAGGGGTCAAAATATTTTTTAGTGTTTAGAATTTTAAGATATAGGGTTTAAAAATCTATAATTAGTAGCATTTTTGCAAATGAACACTCCTAAGTGGCATTTTTGCAAATGTGCACATAAAAAGTGGCATTTTTACAATTTTCCCTAAATATTTGTCATTTTTAAAATGGTTTTTGACTTTTAATTTATATATATATATTTTTTTTTTATTGAGAAATTTTAAAAAATGCCACTTTTCAAGTGCCACTTTACAAAAATACCATATTTTTGTAATCTTTGCAAAAATACCACTTCTTCAAAATTATTTTTTCTTTATATTATTTATGTTTGGGTTAATTATGTTCTATTATGGTTTAGTTATGAAGGTTTAGGGGGTTTTAGAGGTCAAAACATTTTTTAGGGTTTAGAATTTTAAGGTATAGGTTTTATAAATCTATAATTAGTGGCATTTTTGCAAATAGACACCCCTAAGTGGCATTCTTGCAAATGTGTACACAAAAAATGGCAGTTTTGTGATTACCCCTTTTTTATTTACCATACATTTTAGATTCTTTAAATTTTGATTGTGATTTATAACGTTCTTGCCTGCAATCTTTTTTTTTAAATGACTTATTAGATAGATTTTAATAGTTATATTGTTTTTAACAAAATTAGAATTAAAACAATACATATAAAAAAATTTATTTAAAAGAATAATAAAAAATGAGCCATCATCAATTTTTGGAAAAAAATCAATAAAATAGGGAAATGGTTTTTGTTTAGGAATGATATTCTTTTTGAAAAATGGATTGCCCAATTTTTAGAAATATATTTTTTTCAAAATTTTTATTAGGTAATAAAGTAGTTTTTGGAAAACCAAAAACTAATTTGAAACCACAAACAATCATGGCCTAAAAGGTATTTTAATGTATGCTTTTTATTAACTATCAACTATTTCATTTTAACTATGACTAAAAGAAATGTATTAGAGAATATTATACAAATTTTGCATTAAAATTTCCATCTTGTTAGTGTGAAACAATGTTCTTTTCAGGGAAAAAAAAATAAAAGAGAAATTTGATTTTTTTTTTTTTTAGAAATGAGTAATTTTTTCAAAAACTAGTTTTCCTTCTAGAAATATATTTTTCCAAAATAGTGATTGGATAAGAAAATAGTCTTTTGGAAAAACAAAAACTAATTTGATAACCATATACAATCAAGACCTAGAAAGTTCTTTTGTTATCAAACCACCAATTGATGTCTTTTGTACAACAAAAAACCTTAGACCTACAATTTTAACTAATCATCAACGCTTGTTCTAGATTAGAGGCAAACAAGTAAAATGCTCGTCTTGTTTTCAATAGTTTTATTCTGAAACATTGTACTTTTGATAAATATATATATTTATTTTGGTGACTTTAACAAAAACGAATGATAGATAATAAAACTCTACTAATTTTTCATTAATAGATCGATGATACATTTCAATGATAACATCATATGTTTCGATGAAAAAATTGTATTGATTTTGTTACTCTAGTTCGGTAACACATTGAATAATAGATCGTAAATGAATGATAAATTTTTATTATTAAATTTCAAATTTTGTTTTTTCATCAATTAAAATTCCAGTTCGTGATGTGGGAATTCAAAATCTATAACGTTTGATTACGAGTTTTGATTTTAAAATAGAAATACATAACCAAATTCTTCTTTTTATACAGATATAATCTAATTTTGTAAATATATATAAACAAAATATCACTCATTGTTCTCTATATATTAAATCTATTGCTATCTCTACGATGTGTACAAGAAAAACATCTATTTGTTATCTTCTCGAATCAACATTTAGTGCATGCAACATATTCTCTGATTCACATCATTTAACATATTATACATACAAAAACATATGTTGAATATATTGCAATTTGTAATCGAATCTTTTTTACAACATACAAAATATAATCCAACATGAACCATATGTTAAATCTACATCCACCTAAAACTTTAAAATAAAAATGAGACATACATCTTTTCTCTTATGATATTTGAATTGGATGAGTAATTAAAAACAATTTGCAGTGATCGTCGTAGATAGTGAAACTCGTTCTTTATTGAGAAATTTCAAAAAATGCCACTTTTCAAGTGTCATTTTACAAAAATGCCACACTTTTGAAATCTTTACAAAAATACCACTTTTTCAAAAAAAAAAAATTTTATATCATTTATGTTTGGATTAGTTATGTTCTATTAGGGTTTAGTTACGAGGGTTTAGAGGGTATTAGGGGTCAAAACATTTTTTAGGGTTTAGAATTTTAAGATATAGGCTTTATAAATCTACAATTAGTGATATTTTTGCAAATGGATATCCCTAAGTGGCATTCTTGCAAATGTGCACACACAAAATGGTATTTTTGTCTTCTTTATTTTTACTAATATTTCTTTTCTTTAAATTTTGTAGAACTATCTCGATTCGAATTGGTTAAAATTTGCACAAATAAATTGTACAGCAAAAAACCACTTTGTAGAACTACAGTTTTGTAGAACTACAGTTTCAACCAATCGTCAATGCGTGTTCTCGAAGAGGCAAGCAAATATAATGTTCCTCTCGTTGTTTCCAAATTTTTTGAAACATCGTATTTTTAATAAATATATATCTATTTTGGTGACTT